TATTCATGTGCGCTTTCTGACTAACATACAATCAATAGGATTAACCCTAAACCTGTTTAATCTATGTTGGTTGAATATTAATACACAAATAAATCTATTATTGGCGATCACTTAAATTATAATCACAATTAACCCTAAACAAGATTATTAATTATCTTATTTAAGCGTGATTACAAGTACCAATTCCCTTTAACATGCAATAAAAGGTGTGATCAAGCAATAACAATATAAAATAATGTGTCAAGAAAAATAATAAATAATCAACATTATTAATAACAATAATATCAATCATAATTATAATAATCATAAAATTATAACAATTATTATCATAATCATATTCATGTTAAAGCATAGCAAGATCCTAGGCATGATACTAATAAGATTAATAACAAACCCTAGCATGTCACTAATCAATAAAAATCAAATCTTTAGCCCTAACATGATACTAACATGAATTAATATTAGAAAGAAAATAGGAAGCCTCACAGGAATCATATTTAATATTAAAAATACCCTAGGCATGATACTAGGAATATCATAACAACAATGTAAACATGATTTCTACATCATAAATATCAATAAATCAATTAAAGTACTTACTTTGATGCTTCGTGCCTCTTTCTAATAACAAAATACACACGTAGTAACTTCAAGGAAAATAATAATCAAACAATTAAATTAAATAATCAAAAGAGAGATTTGGGACCAAACCCTCAGAAATTAAAACCTTTCACGTCTAGGGCGAAGGCAACTTCGAATATGGCTAGGTGTATCTAGATCTTGTGAATGCGGAATTTTGTATTTGAGAAAAGGCTAGTTTAGAAAAAGAGAGAGAGAGAGAATAATCAAGAAAATCTTGATGAGAGTTGGTAATTGAAAAAGGGAGAGTTAGAGAATTAATGATTGCGAAAGAAAACTGATTGTTAATGAATGATTGGTGCTTGTTGATACGATATTTATAGAAAAAATCATCCAAAAAAGATAATTTATCAAAACAGAGTCTGAAGACCACAAAACCACCTTGGCGCCAGGACCAGTGGCTAGCGCCAGGCGCCAATGCTGGCGTCTGGCGCTAATCCTGATTCCAGGCGCCAAGGCCTGGGGTTGGACGCCAAACCGACTTTTAACGCGTTTTCAAAAATCTGATAAATTTCCCGTACTGGAAGATAAAATAATATAATTTCAATCGAAAATTCTATTTGATCTGATTAAAACTCTGAAGAGTCCTAATTGAATTAAGAATGATAAGACCTTCTAGAATGTTCTAGAAGACTAAAACCATTCCTAATTACATTAGGAATGATAAATTATATTAGGCCCTCCCCTAGATCATAGGGCCGTACTTAAAACTCAAACCGGGCCCAGTTTAGTAAATTGGCCATAACTTCCTCAATATTCATCGGAATTGGGCTTATCTAAGTAACCAATAATTTTAGGTATGAATTCTATACTACAAAGAATAAGTTTAGGGAGAAAAGAAACAATAATAAGAAAGCCTAGGGTCACAGGTTAACCAATAATTAATATTCCGGGATAGAACGAAGTAATTAATTATTAACAGTGCACAGATAACATGATTAACAAGCTCTTTCAATTTATTAATCAACATAGATCTAACAGGCTTTCGCAATTTACTAGACCTAAGTTCCTATTAAAATTAGCCTTTAATATTAAATCAACATCTGCTCGATTCATCAATTCAATATTGCTAAACATTCACAATTAAATTACATCTGCTCGATTCATAATCTAATTGCAAAGAATTAAAACAATTCAGTAGGAAATTATCATGCAATATCAATAATCAATAAATACAAACTATCCCTTCACATTAATAATGGATCCCTAAAAACCCTAGAATGAAACTACTCACCAATCATCATGACTAAACCAATCAAGTAAATAATTAAAAGCATAATCAAGAAAAGCAATTAAAATAGCAGAAATTAAAAGGGAAGAAATTGTACCAAAAATAAATCTGGAATTAAAAGAAGTATTAAGAACAAAAGTTTAGAGAGAATTTAAGAGAGAGAAAAATACTAAGTACAGAGAGAAAGTCTAAGAAAGAAGGTCTGCTAAAAATTCCGTACACAATCGTATTTAAACCTTTCCTAAAACAAGAATTAAAACTAAACTAATCAGCTACTAAGAAAAACACGCGCCCGATCGGGCGAAGGGCCGCCCGATCGGGCCCGCCTTTTTACTCTGCCCTTGCTTGGTATGCTGCGCCCGATCGAGCCTACGCTCACCAGATCGGGCGCGCTTCTTCCTAAGGCTTGCATTTGCGTGCACTCGCCCGATCGAGCGTATGCTTGCCCGATCGGGCCCGGCTTCTTCTCTGAGGCTTGGATTTCGATTGGGCTCGATTCCTCGGCCCAATCTGGATTTCCTCGTCGGGTCTTGATTAATTGATCCAATAGCCCTGGTATCACATACCGAGCCCTTAATCACCGGCTCTCACCGATCCTGGGCTTCAAGAGTTGTCGTGTCCTTCTAGCTTCCGTAGTCGATCCATAAAGCCCGGGAAAATGCTCCAAGAGTGCAATTTCCTGTAAAATACAACTAGAACTACGAAAACACTAGAACACACAAATTAGTAATAAAAATGGCCCGAAAGAGACAAAAACACTACTAATAACGACCAAGGGACGGGGATAAAACACTATATAAAATGGACATGTCACCATCACTGCCAAACTGCCCTTACATGCCCTCCAAATAAAGTGATTTAACTTTGGAGGACCATCCAAGTTCCAGACCACCTTCCACAGATCACTCTCCCTTGAACCAAAAAATAATTCCCATGTTCTCAGGTGCCCCAATCTGGTCAGCCAATAACCAGAACGGACAGTATACAAACCATCAGTTGTTGGCCACCAAAACCGTCTGTCACACGGCCACTCAGTATAAAGGGGTAATTCAAGGATAGCACTTCTGTCTTCAGCCATAAAGGTTGCAGTAATTCGCTCCTCATCCCAACACCCCCTGTCAAAATCGATGAGATCTTGAACTCGAAGGTCCATATTACTATCGCTCGAAGGTGTAGGCACAAAGTGAGACCCCTCCCCTGCAATCCAGCACGCATCTTCCCACACTTTAATAGACGAGCCATTGCCCACCCACCACTTAAGACCATCGAGCAACAGAGACTTTGATCCCCAAATGCTTCTCCAACTATAACTAGGGTCAAATCCTCTTGAAGCCATACAAAAGTCAGTATTTTTAAAATCCCTTGCCTTCAAAATTTTATGCAGAAGAGAGCTAGTGTTGTTGCAAAGCCTCCAAGCTTGTTTGGCAAGTAACGCTTGATTAAAGCATTTCAAATCGCGAAAGCAAAGACCACCCATTAATTTTGGAAGACATAGAGACTCCCATTTATGCCAATGCATCTTTCTTTCCGTTCCCCTTGACCCCCACCAAAATCTTGCAAGAACCGAGTGCATCTCATCAATAAGACCATCCGGAATACGAAAAATTCTCATCATATAAGTCGGTATCGCTTGGGCCACCGCCTTAATTAGCACCTCTTTTCCGGCACGTGACATCAATTTCTCCTTCCATCCTTGCAATTTCTTCCACATTCGCTCCTTAAGACAAGTGAACACCGCTTTTTTCGATTTCCCACTTATAGTCGGAAGCCCCAAATATTTCTCATGTCGTTCCACCTCACGAACACCAAGAGTTTCAACAATCTCCTTTCTTTTCTCTGGATCAACACATTTGCTAAAAGCCACCTCCGTCCCACTAGCATCCAAATACCCACCCTGCACCTCTTTCAATTTTTGTTCTGCCCCTCTAATCTTCTTTTTAACCTCACCAAACTCCTTTGCTTCCCATGAAGTCAAACACTCAGCCACCAAACCAATCCTATTATGAATTGGATAATTCTTCATGACTCCCTTTCTCGGAGAAGCCCTCATGAACAATCCCCACCCCAGCTTCTTGATTTTTTCCTCCTCCTCCACACTAGTACAGTCCCTCTCCGAATGTCCAATCACCCCACAAGCAAAGCAAAGATACGGTAATCGTTCATACTTAAATTCCACCTTAACCTCCTGTCCCTTTCTATCTTTCATCCATTGATACCTACGTAAAGGTTTGTCAACATCAACCATAATACGAACCCTTCTGTATCTTCCCAGACCGAGAACATCTTCCTCTATCTCCATAAAATCCCCAATATTCGACGTCACAGTTTTTACATAGGCATCACTTCTACAATTGAAATGTTCATCCCCTTCGATCTCCTTCAGCACCAATAAACTGTTTTCCCAACACCATGGCCTTCCAGACAACACCTTTTCCTTGTCCTTCCAATGAAAGAATTGGAAAGCATAAACATTAGGGTTAAGAACCCTAATCACCAGCTTGTTTGACAGAGACCAAGCCTTTATCATACTTCTTTTAAAAGCCTCTACATTAAATGGCCTCTCATTACATAATCGTCCTACCAGCAACAATTCAATATTATCCTTTGAATCTGGGCAATCAACCTCACCAAGATCAATCAAATCACTCTCCTCATCATCCAGGCGCAATGAGGAACATTTTTTAATACCGGAGCAACCACGTTCGAGACGGAACCCAGGCGTTCGAAGACGGAGGTCGTTCTCTCTTTCAAGGAGGAAACCCTTTCTTTCGAGGGAGTTTTATGTTAGTAAACTCTGATCTGAATTTATTAAGTAATAAGTACCTGAAATAACTTGAAGAGAACAACTCCTTGTAAAGAAAAAGGGATTTCATATGGAAAAATAAAAACTTCACACATTGTAATAGTAGTACGTGTAAAGCTACAACCACATGTGTGAGCTTCTCTTAACCGTTGGATTAGACAATATTCAAATTACAAACCGACCGTTGCTTTCGGATTTCCACTTGAGACATGTAATAGTGGAGCCAAAAACCCAGAAAAACTAGCCGTTACCTCTTTTTCTCTTCCCTTTTTTTGGTAGAATTTTATTTTAATTCATCAAATCAATCAACTTTATATCCCCAATTTTTCAAACCCTTTCATATTCAATTCAATTCACTTCAATAACTAAAACCCTTCAATTTTTTTCATTCATCAGTTTCATTTACACCCACAAAACCAAATCAATCAAACATCAACAACACCCACAATCTTCAATGGCTTCTAAAACTGTTGCTAAGGATATCATTACTCTTCGTGGCTCGGCCGCAATCGTAAGCGAGTTCTTTGGTAATTAATTTCTTGATTTTTTCCTTCTTTGAGTTATTTTCTTCCAAAAAAGAATTTCCCATTTTCTTAAACCCTTTTTGTTTGAATTTTCAGGGTACGCAGCAAATAGGTGAGAAATTCATCATTTGGGTCAATAAAAGTTTGAATTTTTTCTTTATTTTTACAAATTGTTGATTGATTTATCTTATAATTATTGTTAATTTTGTTATTATTAGTATATTGTATAATCGAGGGGTATACCCAGAAGAAAGTTTTGGGAAAGTGAAGAAATATGGATTGCCATTGCTTCTTACTCAAGATGAAGGTGTTAAATCTTTCATTGCTAATCTTACTGCTCAACTTTCAGGTAATTTATTATTTTTTTTATTTTTTGAAATTTTTGTGTTTTTTAATAAAACCCCAATTTTCTACTCAATAAATTTAATTAATTTACTAGGAATTTTTTAAATTTAATGTTCTGGGATTGTTTTATATATATATATTTGTTGAATTTGGATTGCAGAATGGCTTGAAGCAGGGAAATTACAGAGGATTGTTCTGGTGATAATGAGTAAATCTACAAATGAAGTTCTTGAAAGATGGAATTTCAGTATAGAGACTGATAATGAAGTTGTAGAAACTGGGTATAAAAATAAAAAATTTAAAATATATATAGTTATTTTCCTATAAAAATTATAAATTTTGTTATTAATTTTAATATTGGGTATGATTTAATTTCAGGGTATCAAGGGAAAAGAGTGACAAAGAAATAATGAGGGAAATACAAGCAATTATGAGGCAGATTGCTTCTAGCATCACTTACTTACCTTGCCTTGATGAACCATGTAATTATTATTGCTATGATTTTCTTCTATTGTTATTGTGTAAGATTGAAATGTTTCTATTTTTTTCTTATAGAAAATATAGTAGTCCCGCATTTATTATATTAGGATGTTCGGAAAAAGTTATCGTAATTTATTGTGTGATTTACCGGTTTTACCCTTACTAAGATCGAGTAATAGAAAGAGTGTAATGTCTTTGTTATGTTACACAGGTGTTTTCGACGTGTTGGCGTACACTGACAAGGATGTAGCTGCTCCTCTCACTTGGATTGAGAGTGATCCCAAATTGATTTCCAACCCCCAAATGGTGAAATTACATTCTTTTGATACCAAGGTAAAAAATAAATTGAAACAGAAGCAGTTAGTTTCTTACATTAATATTTTCCTAACTTCTTCATTAGATGTAAAATGTTGTCTTCTGAGAGTTTTAACACACAAAATAAACTTTTGATGCAGATTCACAAGGTTAACACTTTAGTATCTTACAAGAATGATGATGATGATGAATTGGATGAACAATAATCGCTGACAGTCTGTGATTTTGGAGAAAAATCGAATGAACTACGAAGCATTATGTTTGTTTTCTAGTATGTGTCAATGTGGTAATGTGAATCATTGATTCACAATTTTGTATCTGGGATTTGAAGTTTGTAATTTTGTATTACTATCAGTCACTGCCCTTCCAAAACTATTACCAGTGTTATATGGAGTACTATGTATCTAAAAGTGTTGGATTGAAGTTGATCCAATGTTAGCTGTGATTGTGACTTGTGAGAATACAGAAAACTGCATTCATCAGTCTTTCCCTGAATGTTAAACCACTAAGTAGATAATTGCAAGTTTCGTTTAGCTAGAATTCACCAGTCTTTCCCTGAATGTTAAATACAGATGCACGATCATTGCAGATGTACTAAATTTGCAGAAATTTTATTCATGTTTGAAATAGAAATGCTCATTGTATAAGACTGCATATGTTTATAACTGTCATTAAGAAACTAGTCTGTTGCTAACCTTGTGGTATTATATTGTTAAGCTAATAATACGAGATTCCACAGTCGAAATATAAGAAGTTGAGTATGTAAGGAGATTCCACAGCCATGTTTAAAGTAAAAGGCGCTGACTAATAAGGCAACTATAGCATTACACAAGGCAACTATATACAATTAGAAGTTTTATAATAAGGCAATCTATCTGTAGTTCTGTACAAAAAGGTCAGAAAATGGATATTTTCTGTCCGCAAATCACTTAAGCTAAAATGTGCTCTATGAAGATATCTGGCGGCGAACAAAAAGTAAGGCACCACCCACCAAGCAAACCAACTGCCCTCAGCTTCTTCTCAAGTCACACCACGATACACTGCATCTGGGCGAAGATCATCCAAATTATCGATATTTCTGTAGCCATTCAACTCCCTAAGACATGACCATCCCCGGCGATGCATTAACTCACGGAAATCATCCTCGGTATAAAAAGTTTTTTCTACAGTGTGGGATATCGTCTGACCGGGATATGAAATGTGGTCAGACTCCTCATAGCACAGCTTAATCGTCATACCTGAAACAAAGAAATTGTTGCAACTTCAACAGGTCAATTGCAGGGGAAGAATAAGGGACAAGGAAGGATGTCACATGCTTCAACACCATTCACATGGTAATTAAATGTACAATGGAATTCATGAGGGGAGGGGCGCAACAAGCTAATTCAACATATACCTTCATCAAGGTGAAGAGTGTAGGTTCCCAGAGGCATGTCCCGGTCAAGGGATCGAGCAACCTGTTCCTCATCCTCCAACCAAAATGCACGCTTTGTCCTTAAACCAAATGCAGATCGGATCACATCTTTGATGGCCTCAGCAGTTCCCTCTACACCAATCCTCTTAGTGTAATCACCCCATTTGACAATTATCACCCTCCCACCAAAAGGATGAGTATCATCACCTGCAAAAGCAAGGTAAAAATTAGTATCAAAACTCAAGAAATAAAACAAAACATGTCTGCTGAAGAGAGAGAGAGAGAGTAGGGCCTCTCCTCCCAAGACGGAAAATTAAAAGAAAAGAAACTAAAAGAAGAAATCAAAGGAAAATCAGAGGGAGGAAAAGAAAAAAATACTGGTAAAACCAGCACCAAGAAGGCAAGAAGAAATAACGATTATAAAAAATAAATAATAAAATGGGAAAAAAAAATGATGATGAAAATGTTGAGCTTTATGGAAAAGCTTCCAGATATTAGGATTTTGGAATATACAGAGACCAGGTTCAGGTGAGTTGTCTGCCAGGCTAAAGTCCACAGTCAGCAGTTCACAGTTCACGCGCATTACAGACAAGTTAAGGGAACTATATTCAGACTTTCTGTTAAACTGCCTCTAAGCAGAATCAGTAAGATGCTCACACCAAGCCTTGGCAAAGGCCATTCGAGGCATGCACCAGCTAATGTAGTTACATATAGTGAACCTTGTGGCACCCAGGCATCTCAGCCTCTCCAATCCAGTGAAGTGCATGACATGTGCCTAGTTGCGCACATGTACATTTGAGGCCTGAGTTTTTAAAACTAAGTCTATAACTAACACATGATTCAACCATGATTTTAGATCACAAACCTAGACATCATTTGTCACATCACATAAAAACAGCAAACTATCCATATAACCATCTACAGCCCCATCCCACTCTTCAGACACAAACAAAAAGGAAAGAATAAGAAGAGAAACAGCCGGGTTACTCATTAGTCACTCAACTCTTTATCCCCACCTTCTAAGTCAAGATTTGGATTTCCCTTCAGGCAGTAGTAATTCTGTTCTAGAGTTTTCTCATGTATTGTTCTCAGTTCTCACATCATAAATCATAGGAATATAAGACAGAAGAAACTGGAGACGATATTCAGAAATAAGAATGAATGGTACAACATTGCACTTACAAAAACGCCCCATCTAAATTTATTACTTAGAAGTCACAAATTCCTGAAGGAACAAAATAGAAGTCACGAAGTAAGAAATTGACCTTCCTACATACTCTGGGCCACTAGAAGCCACTCAAATCAAAGTATTATGAACCTTTTCAAACTCAAAAAAAAGCTCTGAGTGAGACCGAGAGAACTATACAAACCCTCTCTTTTTTATCTTCAAGTCCGAAGATAATTTCATAATAGCTTGAGAAGCACAAATCCAGTCATTAAATCCTCCTGAATCTATATTACCTATTTCAGTTTACTTTACAAGAATCCTGATCAGCTATAAGAGAACCGTCAATTAATTCTCAAAAAATCAAACATGAAACCACTCCAAATGACCCTGTTTGGCTGTTTCTTTTTTAATAAAGCTTTAAATCCCTCCTACCTCTAAATAAAGTTGTAGCCATAAAATGCCCTGAATTTTCATACGGGAATGTGATAGAGCTAGTTTGAGGTTTTTATTAAGTAACAAATTCAAAGATATTTAGTTGAAATTATGGAAGTAATATGTCACAAGACTTAAAACTTACAAGGCATGTTCGAGCACCCACATCCAAACTTTTAGATTGCATAAACTAATGGAAGCCTAATAAGATATAAGGCACCGAAACACATCCACATAATTCCCCCTGAAGTATTAATACTCAATAGTCAAACCCTTGACTGTGTTCATATTCAATTGTACCAATCACTTCACTTGAGTCTGAGGCGCTTAGAGCAACTCCAATGGTAAGCTAATTGTGAAATTAGCTTGCCATGCCACCTAGGATTGCAAAGCTAATCTACCTTGTAGCTAATTAATCCCACAATGGTTAAGCTAATTTTCAATAAAAAAAAAAAAATTTATTTAATTTTTTTTAATTCCCACAATTTGCTAAGCTAATTAGCTTAGCTAAGCGAATAGCTTTGCCCAGCTAATTTGGTAATGCAATTCCAATGGTTAAGCTAATTATTTATTAGTTTCATAAATTGCAAGCTAGTCCTAATTTTCCACTGTGGAGTTGCTCTTAGCTTTAGATACTTTTTCAAACAGGCAGTCATGTACAATCAATATTTTCCATCCTCGTTGTATTAAAGTGATCTTATGTAATAAAAAAAATAAAAAATAAAAAAAATAAAATAAAATAAAAATAGAACAAGACCTACATTGTAGCTAATCAACCCATTGAATCTCCTAACCTCAAACATGCAACTTATATTTGTTACAGCAATTTTTCAACAGAAAAGATGAAGTTTACAGTAAATAGAGACAGATAAATGATAATGTGAAGTGTGAACCTCACGATCATTATAACTTTTGATGTTCCTTTGAGACAAGTTCTTTTTCTTAAATTGCACAAATTGTGAATTTATTTTGAAGCTCATATGATTCAAGCCTTTTCTCTTTACCTTATTCTTACAGCTGATTTATGTTAAAATCAGACCAAAGTGGACCATAAAAAACTCAAAACAATACCAAACATAGTTATAACGATAAGTCGATAACAATTCACACCAAACAATAAATTCAAACCAGACTGCACCAGAAGATACCAGACTAGTCCACATCAAACAGTCAGACAAGAACTTTAAAAAATAAGAATTAAGACCAACACGCCAAACATAAAGTGAAGAAAACATAGCCTCCATGTAAACAAGATTACCATTTCCAGGAGTCTCACGCCAAAATGATGGGGGACAACCCCCGTCTGTTACGGCATCAGCTGCAGTAATGGCAAGAGGATGTCCCTCGTGATCCAAACGCCTCTCCAAGTTCAGAGTTGGCCTCCCGTTAGCTGTACCAAAAAGAAATAATATCATAGTTAGTACATAAATCCAATGAGTACAAACTTTGAAGTTTGAACAGACAAAATGTCAATTTAAAAAAAAAATCAATTGTAAATACAATAAGCCATTCACAAGAAAAGCAGGAGCAAAAGACGACTGGGAAAGGAAAAAGGAGAAGGACAAAAGAATAATGTCAGTATGCTTCACAACTAATAGATTTTAGCATTTGAACGTGGATGCATGTGAAGGCATTACAATTTTCCCATCAAATAGGACAAGGGCGGGTGCCAACTAACCAATTTCTTCTTCCTCAATCTTAATCTTCATTGGTTACTCAATCTTAATCTCCAATGGTTCCTCAATCATCGGTTCCACAATCATTTGTTCCTCAATCATCGGTTCCACAATCATTTGTTCCTCAATCTTAATCCCCATTGGTCCCTCAATCTTAATTTTCTTTGGTTTGTGCATTTCTAAGATAGAGCAGAAGATATAGAAGGCCAAAACTCAAAGACCAGAGAGATGCAATGTCACAAACGCTGACAAGAATATAGCAGGAATTATAATACTCCGGAGAATCAGATCCAAGATCCCTACACATCAAGTGTACCGAGCTTCATCATTAAAATTTCAAAACAATCTTCACTCAATTTTCAGAATTTATGGGTTCAAAATCAATAATTGAGGCTTTACTACTATGAGGGTTTTGAAATCTCTTGAGTAGGCTTTTCTCAATAGAACAATTAAACCAAGTATAAGTCAGGTGACACTCGCCTAATCTAAAGGTTTTTTTATTTGATTTCACTCATCACATTAAAATTTCTCTCAGCTTAGAGTCACACTCCAAGACAAGCACACAAGTTTCTGGACACTCCAATTTTATCAATCAAACAATTTCATGTATAACAAACAAAAATAAAGCAACATATAGCCTCATGATATTGTCTCCTAATATGACTGGAAAACACAAGAAAAGTTTTAGGAAACAAATCAATCTTAACAAATCTCATGAATTATTAGCAACAATAAAGCTATAAATAGCCTCACAAAATTGTCCATCTGTCCTATTAACTAAAGGAAACAAAATAAAGCCTCTCATATGACTAGAAAACACGTGGATAGTTTTTAGGAAACAAATTAACCTTACAGCTTTCCTTAACTCTCCTACTGTGTATAAAAAGGTGGATCTACACGTGAGTCTTGAGATGAAAGGGGTGAAGCACTCTTTCTGATCCAATCAAGGCAATTTCAAAGAGGAGTAGCGAGGCACAAAAGGTCCACATAAGCA